TAAACTCTGAAACAAGGATATATGTAGTACCTACACCATAAGGATTAATTATGATTATGAGTCTTTTCACAGGAATATAATATGGTCATAACTATAAAATATTGTGATGTTTTCTTATTCAATATTTTGCTAAGACTTAATTTAATTATCCTAAATATTTAATTTGAAAATGATCTGGAATTATTTTATAACTTCAGTTTCTTAACTACTTAATTTATCTACTTTTGCTATAATTCATAAAATCTGCTTAATCTGATTAGTTTAGATTTTTGATTATTTACTTAGTTGTGAAGTTTAACTTGAAAATGATTTGGAATTATTTTACAACTTCAGTTTTTTTACTATGTACTAGATTTATTTTCGGTATAATTAGTAAAATCTGTTCAATCCGACTGGTTTAAATTTTTTATTATCCACTTATCTATGAACTCATTCTATCTTTTATTTTCTTATACATTTTGAAGATAAGGCGCGCACATAGGAAACTTGGGATGTATCAGTAATTGAGGGTTCTGATTTAGAGAACTAAAATATACTAATTGAATTTCGTATTTGAATTGAGAAATTAATTTGAAGATTTTAAATTTTCCGAGGTTTGAGATAAAGTTTCAATGTAAAGAATTTATGAATTATTAAATTTTCAAGATATGCTATAGTTAAGTTAAAGGTTTGTTTTGAATTTGCATATTTATTGAATTTTCCATAAATATGCGGAGTTATAATTGGTTCAATTCTGAGTTTAGGGCATTACAGAATCATAAATATTGAGAATCTTATTACAAAAATAGGCCTTCCAAGCTGAGAAACCAATTCCCAGTTCCATCATTGTGGAGATTCTTAACTGAGATACTCATGATAGAGTGTAAATGATTTCTTCATATACTAAAATTGCTAAAACTTGGATTGAAAAGTTAATCTGTACAAGAAAAAAATCTTGCTTACCTGGTAACATCCAACATATAACAGCAGTGCTAGCACAGCAATAAATGGTGTGTCCAGGAAAATGTAGTATGAACCCAAAAGGAATAAAGATATAACCTGGCACCCAAATAAGATGTACAAATTGTAAGAGGACATCATGCTTAAGATTTTGTTTCTCACATGTTCGTTCATGTAATTGGAACAACAATGTTGTAAAAGTTCTTCGCATTTGGATTAAAACAGCTGGAAAACGAGTGAACTTCTT